AACTTCTTGTGATTGATATGTTTTCTCTTAAACTATTTTCCTGCAACTAGACAACAGTTTAACAGCTTATTTAAATATCATTTGGGGTGCTTCAGTGGAGCTAAACAATGCAAAATTTTCCCAAGATCAATCCCTAGCGAAGATTGGTCACATGCATCCATGCTTGTTTGCTTTTAAGATGCTAAAACCAGGTATATTTTTCAAATTGAAATCTAGTTTCTCATTAATCATATATATGGTACATATTTGAGCTTTTTCTGAATTTATTGTGACATTTTCTTTGCAGACAGCTACATTGTGAAAAGTGCCGCTTACTCGAAATTATTGTAATGAAGTTCACGCTCTTACACTCAAATCACTAATTGAGTATAACAAAGAAAAAAAAAATAGTATCAAAAGAATGTGTTGAAGTGAATTTTCCTATGGTAGGTGGGGTTATTATATTGACTTTTACATTATCGCTAGTTAATCATGTAAAAGAGATAATTTCAAATAATTAGGAATATTCTTCTTGTTTTTTGTATTTTTTTTTAAGTTATATCGTAATATTGTAATTGAATAATATATTAGAGATAATATTTTAGATAGTTGAATTTTTGGGTTTTATCTCTTTATTGTTATGTAATTTATTTTGTTAATTATATCTTATTTAAGCTATAAGATAAAATTTGAATGTTAGTAGGCATAAGCTCCTAAACTTGGAATTTATATTATTTAATTTTATATTCTAGGGAGGATGAAAAATATTTGAACTTTGTATTATTTAACTCAACACAAAGTTTGAACTTAACAACTTATAGTACTATGCTGGTTAGTATTTGTAATAATATGTTTAATCATATAAAAAATATCTATATTTGTAGATGAGATTTACCTTGCAATTATTACTAATAATTTTAGTAATATTTGGTTTAGTTAATATTAGAATATCTGACATAGTATAAAAGTTTAATTTGAAAGTCAAATTTATGTAAATAATCCATTTAAATGTGAAAGTGGATTTTGAGAAGTAGTTAAAAATGATTTAGGTTGATATGGTAAAACTTAAAAAATGAAAAACTTACATAAAATAATACTTAGATTATATTATATTATATCGAGTTGAAGTGTAATTTGATGTTCATTCATAGTTATAAATATAGATTGATATTATGACTCAATGTATAATATAATTGGTTGTTTATGGTTTTTAATATTCTTTCATGTTAATGGAATTTGATGCTTACACTTTATAAAGTGTGTTGCTTTGGAGTGTAGGTGATGGTTAAACTTTATAATCGATCTTATGTACTATTTTATGTTAGTTATTAATCTATTTAGGAATTTTCTCATAGTTATAATTATAATTATAATAGAATTGATGAGATTATTGTATATACACATCATTAAAATAAAAAAAAAATATATATATATATATATATATATATATATATATATATATATATAGACACACGTACATCCATTCAAAATATAGTAACTCATTAACAGACATCCACTCAAAATATAAATTAAGGTTTTTCCTATCTCAAAAATAAAAAATATTTTAACATATTCATAAGTTATTTTAAATAATAATAATAATAAGGTTACTTTGAATAATAATATAATAATAGTTTATATAAAAGTAAAATACATATTTAAAATAAAATAAATTATTTAATATTTTAAACTTAAATAAATATTTTTAAAATTATAAATAATTTATGTAATTAGTTAAATAATATATTTTTTATAATAAAAATTATAGAATTTAATATTTTTAATTAACTTTTAAATTTAATATCTTTTCATATTTAATAAATTATTGTGTTGATATTTTACATAATTAACTATTTTTCACATCAATCAATAAACTATTGAGATCACACTCATTATTTATATTTTTAAAATATCTATCTTAATTTAAAATAATTTAAATATAAAATATATATTTTATTAGATCTAGACTAAAGTATTATTTTGAAGTATAATTTTTTTTAAAATTTAATTAATTTTATTTTAGTTAGTTGGTAGGTCAATCCGAGATGGATGATCTAGTTAAGGAGGTCAATCGATAAGTTAGAATTTTTTTTAGAGTTAGAATTTTTAGAAGAGTTAGGGTTTCTTCTACTAGAGTTTGAGTATTTGAACTTAAGAAAAAGTTAAAGAGTGAGGATGGTGATATAACGAATGCTTCAGCTATGATAGATGGATTGTCTAGATGAAAGTTCTCATCAAAACCTAATATTATTGAAAAATCTAAGTGTATAATAGATGAATGTTTCTCTCAAAATCTAAAATTATTAAAAAATTCAAGTGAGTCTAAATATTTAAAGAGAAAAAAAAATGAACGAAACAAAAAATTAATGTGCATCACAAAAAACTTTAATAATGAGTATATGAAATATAACGAATTTTTTAATTTGAAAATAATACGTGTTCAATAAATATATTTATATATATATATATATATATAAAAGAAAAAAATAATAAACTTATCTTCGTACTCTGTAACCCCTTTCATTACCCAACATTATTTTTACTTTGCCATCATACACTTACAATACTAAATAGCTAATATTTATATACATACATTACATTAAATATTATTAAAATTCAATAATATAATATAATATTATATTAAATGAAAAATGTGTTCATAAAATTATATGACATTAAAATATTTATAATGTATTACTTATTATTAACCTGACTGCATATATGATTTTAATTTATTGATATATATATATATATATATATATATATATATATATATATATATATATATTCATCTTATTATTTAATTTTTTTTCTATTTACTTTATCATCATCAATTTAAGCACAATTAAGTCAATATTACTTTAGGCTTGGTTTCATTTTATTTTTTAAAAATCAATATAGTGAATTTTATAATATAAAATAAATATATACTATTTTGGTCATAAGTCATATACTTTTTATTATAAAATTAATCATTTTTATTTATACTGATTTGACTGTATAACAATAATTTGATGAAGGATTCAACTAACTATATTGATCATCGATACCAACCACTCATTTTTCTTTATTTTTGGTTAGATATTTTTTCTAATTAAAATAAAAACAATATCTGCTTTCTTTTCTAATTACCCTAGTAATTAATTATTTTTTCATTGATAATATATATATATATATATATATATATATATATATATATATATTAACTCTTTTTTATCATCTATTAAATTAAAATTTTCGACATCAATTTTGTCACCATCCGTCCATAGCTCTTGCAAGCAAATTTTCATTAGCGGTATATTATGTTCAGGTATAAGGGAAAAAATATTATTTCTTATGTGATATAAGAAATATATATTTTATATTTTTAAAATGAAAAACAAGTAATTGATGTCCTAAATAAACTTTCTAAATAAAATTATTTATTTATTTTATTTATTTCTTAGTTTTGTAAAAAATTATATGAAATTTTATTTACATTAGTCTTTTGATTTAAATTTTAGTTCTATAAGATTTAATAAGGAATTTTATACCTTTTAATGTATTTTGCATGAATAAGGAAAAAACGATTAAATGAGAATTGCGTTTCAATTTGAAGGCTCAGAGTAAGTTCGAAATGTGGTTGAGAGCAAAGTTAACGAAGTTTTGTGTATTCATTTTCTAGGTCTTAATGTTTGCATAATTTGGGTACTGGAACCATTATTCTATTGTTGCAGATTTTGATTGTTCAGGGATAAGATTAAAAATTATATGATTCGAGTGTTTATATCTGGGAAATCGGAATTTAAATATTTTAGTAATTCGTTCTTTAATTTGAGATTTATAGTTGATAATGATGAGTGATATCATTACAAAGACTTGATGAAAATGTCAGAATGAAAACACGTAAATAAAGTAAACGAAAGTGTTTGAAGAATCAACCACCATGTTCCAAAGACCATCACACAAAATTCAGCAGAACAATAAACAATTGATGAATGTTGTACAGAGAATAACAAATAATTCAATCTAAAGCATTATGATACTGCACTTCGTATCCAACACTCACAAGGGTTGTGAAAACTATTTAACAATCAGAAAAACTAATGAAAATCGACCGTTTGGAGCAGTTTCTAAAAATAGCTTGACGTAAAAGTAAAAGGTATCCATTGTGAGCAACTGTCATAGTGAGAACAATTTGTGTTTGTGTTAGTTTAGGGTTTAACTTCTTTTACTTTTTTCAAGGGGCTTTTGGTTATGGACCTTTTCTATTTCTCCTTTAATCATTACTGATTCAAACAACTGTGCTGTTTTAAACATTGACATTTATGCTATTTAAAGTCTGTCATCCATTGTGGCTGTTTCGGGATTGTTGGAATGGGTTTTTGTCAAAATGTACCTAATGCAAAGTTGTAACTAAATACTCAAAATTAGTTTTTGTCAACCACAAATTCAAAAGCTGAGTTTGGTATTGCAGATATTGCAGCCATTGCATGAATGAAAATCAGTGACTACAAAATGTGAGCACAAGAAAATTAAACTCATCCTTGTCTTCAATAAAAAGATCACAGTAGGAATTCCGTACATGGCTAGAAACTAATTTTAACTTGTACATAAAATTTAAGGCATGACACTAGAAACTGGAAGTGTGAGGATATAACATGATACTTAATAGACCAAAGCTGCTTAACAAGGATGTATTTCACATTAACCTTAACTTACAATAGCTGCTTTTCCATCAGGGTGCTTATAATACAGAGTCTAGGTATAAATCATTCAACACAGTGCAAGCTAATTGTCCTCTACAAAATATTATATAACCCACTTTGCCCAAACAAGATTTATAAAAGAAAAAAAAAAGAATAAGAATATCATCCAGAAGTGAACCTTGTTTATCTTTGCTTTTGAAGCTCCTCCCATAATAGGCACCACATGGTAAGGGCTGAAGTTTCTGTAGAGCATACAGAACGGCCATGCAAATGAGACAGTGCTTCATTGAGTATATATGCTGCATTTTTTTACTTCATTTTTAAACCTACTAGTTACTTTAATTCTTTGATGCAAAAAGAAGGATTTGAGTGCCTTCTTCTCTTCATTTCCGGTTCTCCTAAGTGCAAGGAAACAAAATTATCTTCATCAGGGCCACTCCTGAGTTCTGCGAGACTTCTAAGTTCCATGTCTTCTTTCAGGTAGCTGTGACATACAGGAGACTTGCCCACATAACTTGTTATGAACTGGTGTTCTACATTTGGTGCTGTTTCAATTTCATTTCTAACATGAAACTCACAAGGCCTTAATGACGGATTGATTCTTTGAGAGGGTTCATCTTCAACTTGTGCATGTGGGATATTCAAGCAAATAGGCTCAAAGCTCTCTTCGAGCTTTTCTTTTATTGGCACAGTAGGAGAGGATTCTGCAACTGTAGAGTCAATTCCGGCAGCGGGACCATTCCTTTGCTCTAGCGCCGCAGCTACAAAATTGACAAGGAAAGGAAGAGTCAGCCGTAAATGTTCAACAATGAATAAATCATCATAAGCTAGGATATTTTTACACATGCCTTAAATCTCTATATGGCATTCACTAGAGCGGAAGTAGAAAACTTGCATACTTCATCACATCTTTTCTCAATCAGGGCTTGAGATTTGAAGGGGCTTAAATGTCATTCAGCCATATGGATGAAAATTAGACAGCTTATAATGGGATGTTAAATTGGACATTCCACATTGTCTGAAGTTTTAATGGCCGCAGTCTGAAGCTCCAAAACATTGGCTGAGTGACCTGCAGCTGGCAGGAGACAATGTATGGACACGTATGGCTTGGGAGATCCTAATTAGGGTAATCTCAGTCTGAAGGCTCACCAAACAGTGGCTGAATGACCAGCAGGAGACAGTGTTTGCACACAAATGGTGCAGCTAACAATGATAGTGCAAGAAGCCACTAAACCAGATGCTAGGAGGATGACATGTCGAAGTGCCAAGAACTGTCGATGAAATGTGGCAAGAGTGACTACTAATGAGAAAATGGGGGAAAATAGTCTTAGACATAAAGTAGAGCTCTAGATCTATAGAATTTGGCAGAAAAATACTGACTGGTCATGGAAGATAATACCTGCTGATACCATGTTGAAATTCTAAGGTTCTAGGTATTGAGGAAAGAATTTGAGAGAATAAAGCTTAGGATATTCTCTTGAAGGATGTAATGTGTTGTAATGTAAAAATAACATATACCACAAACCCTTATTTGTACTAATCCTAGATCATAAACCTAACTAAATGAGGAAATAATTCAACAAAAATTAGGAAACACTGAAACTAATCATAGGAGATGATCTACATAGTCTAAATAATTCTAAATTACAAATCTAGATATTACTGGATATTCTTCATATTTACTATCAAAAGTCAGTCAGTGCATATGATCTCAATTGGTAGCTTGGGTGGAAATGCCACAAGTAAAATGTGACTTGCCAGACCTTTGAGGAGGTTTTCTTCAAGCAATTCCAACCTTAATACAATTGAACAGGAGAGGTTGAAGATTCTTAAAGAGCAAGAAAACAGGAAATATGAAGGTTTGGAGTGCAAATAAACAGCAGCTTGGAGGTAAAAGATGGGCAATTTTTAGCTTTACCCAAAAGCAAAGGAAGTGAGAATTGAAGAAACCCACTCCCTGTATTACAAATAACCCCTATTTCTCTGGATGTACAACTCAAGTGAAGAATAAGAAATACAGGAGAAAAGCAACATTTTTATCTGATTTGACCAGATGAGACATTTGAACGGTCCACATGCACTGCAGATAAAAGAACTATTACAAATCCAGCAAGCCCAACACCATTGGTTGAGCCTCCGGACTCAAACTTTCACAGGGAGGTGAATGGGCATTCACACTGCAGCCTTGTGATGATGAATTGTGAGGAATAGTATAACATGGAGAGAGGAAGGACAAGACTGAAACTAGATGAACCAGAAATTGGAGTTCATCATATGGATTAATGGTCTAGGGGAGGGATGAACGATTAAAAAACACAACACCCTTCTGGTCATCGCTAATATCTATTGAATGTATGGGACCTGGAAGACAGCATTCTCCTTCATAATGCTCCAAACAGTGAAAACCTGGTGAAGCTTTTTTCAGCTGGCATAAGCTGTTCACGTTCTGTATGGGTGAATGTTTAATGACTATTGTTAGGTAAGTCCAATGGTTCTGTTAATTGAAGAAATCACATTCATTTGGTTACGCTCTTAATAGAATGGGCACAGTAGGCTACAAATAGATAGGGGAAGAAGACTAGTGGCATTCAGTTCTAGACTGAAAGGGTTGGTTTAGGGAGAGATATCAGGGTCTCGAAATACTGAGGAACATTTGTAATTTTCTTTCTTATTTCAATTCTGAACCAATACCTATCACCGTATTCTTCCCACCCCCATCCCCCAAAGAAGAGAAAGAGGACAAGGTTCTGTGTCATCAAGCCAAAAACTACATATGGCCACAGTACTGGCAGTTGAAAAGTATTTCAAATACCAAACCAATTAAACAATTAACATACAGAACTCTCCCCTTCAAAGTCTTTCTTTACAGACATGCTCGTTCTTTTGTATCAAATAAGAAAGTCAAAAACCATTCTCCATATCTTAAAGCCCAAAAAAAAAAAAAAAACTTGAATTTTTTTTTTTTTAAGTTTTGAACCTTTACAGAAGGATGCATGCTCTCAGTAATTGAATTTAAACAAGACAACTATTTTCTTAATTAGTGAAAAGTGACTCCCTTTATCCCCAGTTATCAACATGAGGAGATACCTTGAGAATCAACATTTTAATTGCATACACATATCTATACAATCACGAGAAATGAAATAAAGAAACAAGTTTTCTTTCTATTAGAAACATTAAAAATACACATAAATGGACAAAATAAAGACACATTAGTCTTAATATCAAAAGCCTCTTTGATCTTTCTGTAAATCATAACTAATAAGATTAGATAAATAGTTTACATTACAGGGTTTTAGAGTCAAAAACTAGAGTTGAAGATTGAACTAAAATAAATAAATAAATAAGTGGAAGTAGTTGTTGTATAAATGATGAATTGAAGAACCAAGAGGGGAAAAGTAATTTGTGTAGCGGTAGCATGAGATATAAAGAATTAATGAGGTGATTTCATACAGAGAAAAATAAGACAGCCGAGATAGAGTCGAGAAAATCTATTTAAATTCAAATTGGTTGAGCTCGTTAAAGAAGATTCTGCTCACAAGAATCAGATATAAACAGATGTTTGAACTTTGTCCATAAAAGGAGTTGCTTGGTCTTAGATACTATAAAAATAGCAGCAATTTTAAATATTGGAAATGATGTTACAAAGTGAGTACCACAGCTGCTTCTTACAAATATATGTTTAAATAAAAAAAAATGCACCAATTATGGCCACATAAAGACCCTTGAACCATAATTGAACAGACAAATTGGTTAAAGAATACTCAATCACTATGATGAGTAAAATTGTGGAACGGAGACGACTCTAGGACTATCACAACACCAACAGACACTTCTGGAAAAGATTGGGACCAGGTTGATTTCTAAAGGAAAGTCGAAGGGGTCCTGGGAAACTCACAGGGTCAAGCTGATTTATCTGGGAAAGCTGCAGGACCAACTAATAACTATAGCAAAGTTGATGAGCCAAGCTAATCTCTCTAGGAAAGCCATGAGATCAACTGATTTCTCTCATAATGCCCAATACCGAAGAGGGAATATTTGAGTAGAGGAAGTCATGGGTTGACAGGAGGAGAGAAGGTAAACCAAACATTGGCAAAAAAAAAAAAAAAAAAAAAAAAAAAAGGAAGAACAGAACAGGGAGCCCTCAGCTCAGAAACCAACAAAAACAGGCCAGAGTTGCCTTGCCTCTATCTTATTATTAACCATGGACCTAACCTATTTGTCTATGACATGCATTTTTCTAAACTGAGTTCGGCCTGACTTGAAAGTCTGTTTAGAAGCCCGTTTTGTAGAAAGACGAATAAACAAGTCAACAAGTCTAACTAGGTAAACAACCTTAAAAAGGCCAATAGACCTTCATCACATAAATTATTCTTTATTTTCTTAAGGCTGATATCAAAGGAAAAAAGAAAATCTCAAAAAAGCAATAAGCCATTATATTAAAAATGGACAAACATATAAAACATAAATAGGTAGTTCAGTCTTTTTAAGAGACAAGCTCAATGTAATTCAGATTCTACCTTCTCATCCCCATTGAGCTTGTAGGGGGTGTAATATTTTTCTGTTAGACAGTTATACCTGTCTTCATTTTTCTGTTTTGACTGAGCTGTTTTCAATTAGACATATAATATAATCGTTTTCATGATAAAAATACAATAATGTTGTAATTTTCTTTCTATCTTTATATTCAATAAAAAATAACTTCCACGTAACAGTTTCTATAAGGAAAAGGTATGATTTTTCGTCAGTATTGGTGCAGTTGTGTTATGGAACAGTCATGTCATTTAATCCTACTTCTATCCATTTCAAATGGGTGTTGTATTAGCTGAGGATACGAAAATTGGATTGAAACTATTTGAAACATTCTGGTAAAATGCATGGTGGAGGAGATCAAAACTCAGACAAACTTGAAGCCAAAAAGATGACACCGCACTGATTAGTTATTGAACAAATTATGCTAATAATGATCCTAACTAGTGAGGGAATAAAGAAATTTGGTAACAAATCCTAAGAGATGATGAGAAAATATGAAAATTAACCATAAAAAATATTCTAGAATTTTTTGTAACAGACACTGTAAACTTACATCTTTTCTTGGGGTGCTCTAAGGAGAAGGGTGTGACTGAGGAATTGATGCAAAAGGCTTGGGTATTCCTCACCTCATGCACTAGGTTTCATGGTTGAATTAAGCCTACAACAAATTCAAGACTAGTCCTAGTGCATATTTTGTAAATTTTATGTAATTTTCACGTTTTGGTAGTCAGTTGAGGGTTTTGCTAGTTAGTTGACTAGTTGGAAGGCCTTAAAGAATAGTAAGGTCTAAGATGATGTATAAATAGTATTGCCCAAATCTATACAAGGGCATTGAGAAATACAATCAGCAATTTGCTCAAATGGCTACCTGATCCTACACTCTGTGGAGATTGCTGAGCTACATCACTGAAGTACTAGTGCCAAATTTCTTTAAGATCAGTTCAATTGGTTTAATAGTTTGCAATGTTCTTTGCTTCTGTCAATGGGTTTGGTACCTGTAATCATCTTAGGCTGGAGGGGAGGTGTTGGAAAATATATTATTAGATTTCACTTAGTAGTAATATGAAGGACTGCAGTAGAAGTACTAGTAGTCTAGTGTTTGACCTAATTAATAGTATAAATAGTTGCATTATGCATCATCTATATGTAACATCTTACTGCCTATCTTAAAATTCATAGCTAGCATTTTCCCTTCTTTCTTTTCCTTGCGTAACCATAAAACTTCAAGCAATTGTGAAACAATAAAATACTGGAAACTGCACCGTTTCAATATTATTTGAGGGACTGAATCATTAACCGAATGTTAGCAACCTTGGAGTGCTTCATTTGTTGTAATGAGATCAAGTTCAAGGAGATCGAGCAATCGGCCAAGATCAACTCCACTTGTCCAATTTTCTGGGAGTTGACCAACTTTTAGTTTTAATCGACCCCGATTAGCTGTCCCACCCCAGATAATGCCAACAGGGCGCGGCTTCTCCCCATTTTGTCCAGCCAGAAGAATGAGGCTTCCACTGTCACCTTCAAGGTCAAATGTCTGCTGGTTCTCACCAACAACAAGAAAATCAGTGAGAAAACAAATCCCTTTTTCATCATTGTACTCTAGGGCATAGGCCATTATAGTCCCTGTAGTCAAACCAGAACTTCTTCCAACTTTAACCACTTGTCTTCCAATGAGACTGTTGATTGGAGACTGCAAGTCTATGCTGTTTACATCACCAATCTCACCTACACCTTTTACAGTTGTAATTACATTGTTCATATTGAAATCTTCAGCAAATGGGATGAAGGCCCCATCAGCTCGCACAAATGTTTCTGCAAGAAAACAAAACTGTAATGTGCATCTGCAGTAGTCAAGCGTCAGGACCCAACAGAAAATTCTAAGCCAACATCATAACTAACAAATTTGAAATGAGAATATCACAAATTTGACATGCAACTTAGGAATTGGAAAGATGCTCAAACATATCCTTTTATGTTGTTATAAGAACTTATATCACAACTTAAGTGAAACATCTCCAAGTATTAGAGGGGGGTGAAAGAATTAGATTTAGCATATATCATTAGGATGAAAGTGAAACCAAATTACATTATACGGATTACATATCAAGCATAACCTAGACAATAGACTGGTATAGTCATTACGATAGAGAAAGTGCACGCAGAAAACTATGGATTATTTATTCAGCAGAAACTTTTCATGTCGTGCTAAAAAATATACCACCTCAGAAATAATTAGCAAAAAACTGCCAACCCAACATTATATTTTCTTTCCACTATAGCAGATTTCACTTCTCAAGATAATTCTCTAAACAGAAAGATCTCTAACTCAACAGTAAAATGAAAATTGTTAAACCCTGACCTAAGCCTTTCAATTTCTGACTACTAGTCATTCCCTTAGGAAACTAAGATGTAGCTTTCCACAGCGAGGTACTTCTACTGTTTTATCTATAACTATGTAGAAAGAGGATATACTGTTTCACTATACACATTTTGTATGCCCTATTTAACCCCTAGAACTACCATCGGGAACTATTATTTCTACCACAATCTTATTTTTTTGTTTAGTCTCTGTTCTCTCTCTTGCTCTAATTCTCAAATAATTACACTCCCCAAATCACTCACATCCTCCAACAGCACACTAAAAATCACCCACTATTTATTATTTAACCTCCATCATCGCTTCTTTTTTCATTTATGTTTTAAAAAATACAGAGGCGCATGGTGTGTCTCTTTTTCCCTAGGTAGTAGTTCCTTATAAAATCAAAACACTTTCTAAATAAACATCTTATTTTATGTAAAGAAACTCAACTTGATTATGTAGATAATAGGAACAAAAGTTTTGTTCCTATTCATTAGCATTAAAGACAAGTTAGCCCCAAATTTGAAGATTGACAAATAGCTTGACTGAGAACTTCAGCTTGCTGACCACCAGACGTAAAATATTCATGATAATCTCCAATTTAGAACCACATTACCTGGGTTTGTTCCCGCAAAAATTCCATACCAAAGATCATCAGTAATAAATGATGTTGCTCTCTCTACTGCACCCAGATACACACCAGGTCCGAGACTGGGTGGTAATGGATGAAACATCTTTTGGTTTGGATAGTCTAAATCAACAGCCACATGTCGATTTGTTAGAAAGCCAACTTCTCGATTTCCTGTTCGGCTTCTGACAATAGCACCCAAGGTTCCATATGTCTCTTGGCTTGCAACCTTAAAGGAGAAGAAATTATAAAGGAAAAAAGGGAAGTAATTACCAAGACTTCAGATAGAGATTCCAGCATTAGATCAAGGTTCAAGGCAGGTAATGAAGAACAGAAATCAATATTTATAAAAAATAAAAAATAAGAACAAATCTAAAAAAGCAGTATATGAACAAATACAAGAACAAATGAAATTGAGTTCCATAGTCCGTCACTTGTTTATCTAGTAAAAGAATAAAGCTGTCTGTCAACAGCATAGCACCAATGCCCTAAAAGGAGAATTATTTGCTTGCAACTATGACTGCTTGACCATTTTGGCCACCATTTCATATTTAAGAAATGCATCTAAAGGAAGTTATTTGTGATGGAAAATTATCTCAGTTCATTAAAAACAAGAAATTTGTAACTTCAACATTCGTGGTTTGATTATATACAGGTGCATGCAACCACGTGGAAATGCTGGGAACAAGAAAACACCTAAACCTAAATTGATATGGTAAAAAATGAAGAAAAACTTCAATTTTTGGTCCAAATTGAAAATTGCCAATGCAGTAATCCCATCAGTAACTTTTAAGACAAATTTTCAGGTTATCAGCCACAAATACTTATTACTGCAACCCATATCTTTCATCATTAATAATAACTACTGTTTTTTATCATCATCAACAACAACACTTCCTCAAGAATTTTCCATCATAGACCAAGGTCGGGTTGAAACATAAAATAAAATCAATAACACTTAAAAAAATTTAATTTATGGCCATGCCATGATTTGAACCAAGAGACAATGCTAATTTTTTTAGAAAAATGGCAATTATATTAACTGGTACCATTATTATCTAATATGTTTGGAAAGCAAAAACTGCTAACGTCAAATATATACTACCTTCAATTCCATAAAATAGAAAATAATGACCATGACGGCAAGATGATATATATCTTCTCTAACATCAAATTAAGAAACATTATTTTCCGTTTACTGGCATTTAGTATGCAGAAAATGTAATACAAAGGAAATTGATTCTTCAAAGAAAAAGTACCTGAGAACCTGAGCCAACGCATGAATCATTTCCTCTTAAGCCATCAGCAAGCTCTGTATATAATTGTTCTTTAAGGGTTTGTGCAGGTGCACCATAATAGGAGAACTCCACAACATCCACATCACACCAAACACCTCCTGGTCCCTGTTGGGAAAATTAAGAAATGACTTCAGAATCATGAGATAGATTAGCCTCATTGGAAATTACAAACTTTAGATCTTAAATAATAGTCTAACAGTCCCGTGGTTGATTTAAGATGGCACTTTTGGAGGAAAATATTCATAATAAGTTAGTTTATCACCATAAAGAAATTTTTATACTTCCTGTTCATCCATATAATATGTTTAAATAAATTGCCAACAAACAAAATAGAAAGAACACATTGTAGTTTGATAGACTATATTCTATCAGCATTATTTGATACCTAAAACATGTAGAAAAAAAATTATGATAATGCAACTCAGATTTACAGGCGCACACAATGAGAGAAGCTTACTTTTTTTATACTAGAAATTTCTTAATCATTTTCTCATTGTAGGCCAAAGAAAACTAAAGGATAATGACTAATTAGTGCTTATCAGCATGTGAAGAACCATTCTGCTTTTTAGCCTTAACAAAACATACATTTGGTGTCTCAAAATTTTTTGAATAACCTGCGCCAGTTTTATGTTGAATCATTGTCTATTTGCAACATAATCCTGAGCAGTTGAAAAAAAATTGTGAAAAGTTTTAGTAAGTCAACATTTAAAAAAGTTCCATATCTAGCATTGTATGGTATTTTTGTTTTTTGCCATTTATAAATCCACAAACAATAAAAAGACAAAGACAACCAAAATGGAAACACCGACAGTAAATCGTCAATAATTCAATTAAAAAGTGTGAGGAGATCCACTTAAGCCATGTAGAAACCTGCAACATAGCCAGAAGAACCAAAATTGCCCACCTCAAGGGCAGCAGGTAGGCACTGAACATGGTTGAGCCATTGCCTGTGAACTTTATGAGCAACGAAGACAAGAATAGCTGGAATATCAGTCAAAACACCTCCTCTAATTCGAAATCCAATTGCAGTGCCAAGACTGAACCGGCGTAAAATCTTGCTATGGAATGCCCTAATAGTCATCAATTCAAGCAAGGTAGTAGCTTGCTGTCCTGTTGGCAGTCGACCCAAAGTTTCAGGCAGCACACCCTTTTGCAGGTTCCCAAAATAGTTGGCTCTATCTTCCGCTGCATCATTCCAGCGACTCAATGTAGGCCAAGAAAAGTAGGCAGCATTGCTCTCAGAATGCTGAGCACCACCAGCAAATGGTTGCAGGGGTGAAGGACTAGATGAACGGTTAAGATGACCATAGTAGCTCCTTTCCATGTCCAGAGCGGACTCCTCTGATTGTGTCGATCCAGAATGATGAGCTCTCAAGTCCAACCGGTTCTGATTCATCGGTCAATTCTCCTACATCACCCCAAACGTATCTTCAATAAACTTAAATAATTAAAGACCCTCCACGTAACCAAATCAAAACGCCATTTCCTGTTATACTCAAACTATAAAGATTTTTCAATTAACAAACCAGCTTCAACATAGGTGGAGAAAATTGTTCAGAGAGTACATTTTATATAGATTTGTGTATAGGCTTATCTAGAAAAAGCAAATGGTCTACACAAAGTAAACTTGATCAGGATAAAATAAACCTAACAAGAACAAAATTTCTATTTCATGTACATAATATAAACAACATAAACTAGAATGCCCCAGCACATCTCAACTAGAAGCTCCATAAGTTTTCACAAAATAAAAGAAAAAAATCAAAACAGGCATGCAAAATAGAAACTAAGGGAGACAGAGATCATTAGGAAAGTTTTTTTTATGCAAAGGCCGGTCCATCGACAGAAATTTATCATATGAAGCCATAAAAGATAAGCTCTCAAGTATATGTTGGTACTCAAGAGTAATCGAGTATACATTTGCAAACAAATCATGAACACCTCTTCGGCACTAAAACAAAAAATTGGGATTGCAATCCCCTTAAACCCACAGCTATGGCAAATCTTCAACTGATATATACAAGTGAACCCACCAGAAGAAAAACTATAGGAAACTAGCGACTCATCATGAAGTGTAAAAAAGAGAACCCAAAATCTCCACGTGCACTAACAGCCTAAAAATCAGAACCCCATCACAAGGTAGGTGCTTTTATCGGAAGAGAGAAAGAAATTCAAGCAAAGCATACCCAGAAAGCCATTCCAAGAAATAGGAACCCCAAAATGGAACAATGGGCAAACAGTGTGTGCAACAACCGACCCGTCTCAGAAAAAAAATAAACAACTAAATAAAAGGAAAACTCAAACTTCTCAGCTCAGACCCAACCAGTGCGAAAACAAAACGCAACCCGTTCTTTGAAAAGGGTTGTGAAAAAGATACAATTTTGCAGGCTCAGCCAAAGAAAACTCACCGATCAGCAATGTTGGAGCAACAAAAATGGACTCGAAAAAAAGGAGCTTGAAGGTTTTCATGCCCTAGTACATGTAAATTCTGTGCCAATCATCTATGAGATTAAGATTGCCGAAGAAGGGTATCTCTTGGTCAGAGCAAAGTTCAATAGGGTGCATTAAAATAGTGAGAATGATTCCCAAGCTTCGTTGTGTGTAGAGTGTACAAGCGAGGATTGAGAGAGAGAGAGGGTGAGAAAGAGAGAGAAAGAATGGTGATGATGATGATGATGATGATGAAAGAGCACTAGCTAATAGCTATACTTGTGGATTGTCAAAAGCATGTAGTATCTACCATCTACTATGTTACATGGCAATACAATAAACTAAGCATAATTAATATTAATTCTTTTAGCCCTTTTCTGCTATTTTTAATTAACATTTTGTTTTAATATTAGCTTTATTATTTGAGCTATGGAGATCCTATTCCTGTCACAGGTTACAATTATGAGTGGGGAAATTTTAATGGAGGAGACATGGGCACCCAGGCAATAAGGAAAATAATATACATTTATAGGATACAGATGATATGATATTTATGAATTTATTTATGTGGGTGGGGTTTAGGGGGCCATCCCTGTTTGCTCCCCAAAAGTTGCACACCCTTTCAATCTTAATAATTCATTTCCCATCTTTCTTACCTATAAAATTCCAGCCTACCCAACACACAAAGGGTTTACTCTTAATTCATTGATACAGGTGAAATTATAATTAAAACCTAAATAACTCGTTAAATTTGTCAACTTAATATTACAAATAATATAGATAACTCACTAATATTTTATTATTAATTATCTATAATATTTTTATTCAAAGTCTAAGACACAACTTTACATATATATATATATATATATATATATATATATATATATATATATAATAACTCATTTTATTTCTTCTTGTTTTGACAATATTATATCACTTAATATTTATCTCACTAATGCCTTAATAAGTAAACCTAATATTATGTTTATATATACTTGAATGACAAATGATCACTTCAGATAAATACTTGAGAAATCAATTCAAACTTATACACATTTTGATATTAAGGTTCTATATGAACTTATTGTACACATCCTCATGTTTACTCATATGTTTTAACTTTTGACAAATATAACAATTTTTAATAAAAGATTACTAGTTACATTGTATTTGATAATGAGATTCATAACAACTAAAATATTTTACACTAGTTTTTAGTTATTGCTAGGTATTACAATCACTACAATTTTGTTAAGCCACTTCTTTATATTATTCTTCCCTTTTACACTAGAAAACACATCATTTTGACTCTTGATCACTCTATTGTCTCCTCTTTCAGGTTTGTAATGTCATATCCTACTAAAGTAGGAAACTCTTAGATAGATATAAGCACCACCATCCTCTTTATCTCATGATTTATATCTTCTTCAAATTTTCTATACCTTTAAACCTCAAAGATAGCCTGGAATAAAATTTGCCTAAAGTGTTCAAACCTAGTCCTAACTTTGCATAATGGCATCCTATCATCGAAGTGTACTTACCACATCTCAATCTAACAATTTGACTCATCAAATGAAAGAAAAGGTAGGGTAAGAGGTCTAGTAGTAGGTTTAGGCACCATTATTTTCAAATAAAAATTTAAAAGATTAAGAAAATAAACTTTAATTAATTAACTTAATTTCCCTACACTAAACTTTTTACAACAAACAACATATATCGAACGATTATCCTTAAGTCAACCAAGATACGACTAACTTTCATACCTTAATTATAACAATTCTAGAATTCATTATTTAAAAATAATAATAACTTCAATACCTATATATATTCTTTAACACGCATAATAAATATATATATATATATATATATATATATATATATATACAATTTATCAAAAACATTCACAAACAATTGTGAATTTACAAAACTAAACTAAATAAATATATTCATATATGAAATCTACTATCGACTAAAAAAAATAGGCATTTTATTGTCTTAAAGAATATGTCCAACCTATGACATTATTTTTTTCCCTATAATAAATATGATCATTATAATTTTAAAATAACACAAACAAAATAAAGGGTAAATTAATTATAAAAAATATAATGTCTTATAATCATTACATAAATCATATCACCTTAATGGTATAACAGAGTCATATAGTTTATCTCATAATTTCAATGTAAGAGACATCTTTTGGAAAACTTGTATTAAGTTTCAAATTTGTACATGCATACATTGTGTTACTTCATATATAATGAAATTTGTGAGAGGCCAATAATGATATTGGTGCATACACACCTATATTAAAAATTTTCATTGTCTCTTTACTTATTGATATCTTAATTCATGTGATTTGAGACTATTAATAAAATATAAATATCTCATTGAATATGTTAACTTGATATCAATAACACAAAATGTACTTTCTTATTATCTCTAATATTCTTAGGCACATAGTCTCTCGTCGAGATTCATATATCACATATCCTTATTATCTCCAATATTCTTAGGCACACGGTCTCACATCGAGATTCATATATCACATACACATGTATCACATCACCACACATACACTCATATATACAATCTCAAATAAAATAGTATCATATTATATATATATATATATATATATATATATATATATATAGTCTTAAATAAAATAGTTTCCCTTGAGCGTTTATCTAGTCGCTTGAGTAATACATTTAGAAAATCAATTCATTTGTTTTTTTTCCTTATTTAGGCGACATCTGGTAACTTAAGTGACATGTTATATTACTTGAGCATCCTTGTGAATATTAGTGTGATAGGCCTCTAAATGTAAATCCAACATTTTGTTTATATATCTAGTAAACACCCTCTAAGTTCCTTGAGTGTACTCTCATTTGTTTAAGCACCCTTTTAATATACTTACATAATTAAACTTGTCAATTTTTTTTTACTTCACTTGAGCAACAAGTGATTGCTCGAACAATGTACTTCCATATCAATTTGAACCATTATTTTTGTCTCTTGCTCTAGTGTTGGCTAAACTCTTAACAAGAAGCTATTGAATGACTCACTACTTGAGCAATAGTTGACCACTTGAAAAAAACTATTATGTTTATCAAAAAACAGGAAAGGTTGAATTGGAAATAGAAAGTGAGGCAAGAGTTGAATTTGAAGCGTTTTTTAATTATGAGAATTTTGTCAACGAAATGGGACAATTGTTAGAGAATCCACAAACCATGGCGTGCAGAACGAATAAAAGAGAAAAAGTAATGAATTCATGTTTGCAGGCATTGAAATAGAGGGATTGTGTGTAGCTTATTTTTCTCTCTAGTATTTCTCTTATTTGTATTTGTTATTTTGATAATCACTTTCCTTTGCATTATACGTAAATAATATCATAAAGAACCTTACTCTGCGTTATACTTCATTAGACTGCATTTATGGATTCATTACTTCCTCCATATTATCCATCAATACATTTTGTGTTTTTGCTAAGATTCCATGGTAGAAAACACCCATTTGAAGGAATTAACTTCATATGCCAAAATTTTATCAACCGACGTTAAGAGGCTACTCAACATGATGGAATCACGCCATGCTGAATACTCAAATCGCTTCGACAACATGGAAGTTGGAATTAATTCCTTGAGCATAGTTGGTGCTACTCAAGACTCCCCTGACCCGATGAATTTATACTACCTTGCACCTCCTTTCCAGGTTCGTAGCACCAAGTTGGACTTCCCTTTTATTTAATGGATCTGGTGCATTGGAATGAATTTTTAAAGCTAGACAATGTTTTACTTATTATAATACCCTTGATGCACAATACCTAATTATTGTTGTTATAAATATCACCTAATTATTATTGTTATAAATATGGATGTAGATGTGATACCTTGGATTCAAATGCTTTCTAAGAATAATCCATTTCGGTCATGAGTTGGATTTACCAAAGTGATAGAATTAGAATTTAATCGGCAATATTGTTGAGAAGTTTATACTCCAAATGCAATTATCTTATTAGTCTAATTATAAGTGGGTGCCAAAACCAATGAAAGTAAAACCCTATTGATATCCCCATAGTCAAAAGGAACAAATTAAAAAAATGGTCAATGATAAGTTACATTTCATATACCCATGGTGGACGAATTGATCGATAAGTTATTTATAATACCCTTTATTTATCTAGAGATCTCCCTCCCTTTATTTATTATTTGAATTATTATTTGATTAAGAGAATTGTTATTTATAATAATCTAGAGGTCCCCTTCCCTTTATTTATTAATTGAATTATTATTTGATTAAGAGAATTGTGACCAGTACCTTAGAGTTGGAGGCTGATAATCCAACCACTAAACTACTAGCTGGATTTTCTGATAATAATTTACCTTATTAGTCTAATTATAAGTGGGTGTCAGCCCTATTGATATCTCCATAGTCAGAAGGAACAAATTAAGAAAATGGTCACTAATAAGTTACATTTCTTATACCCATGGTGGATGAATTGATTGATAAGTTATTTATAATTCGAATCTAGTACTTATAGTTGAAGACTGATACTCTAACCACTAAGTTACTAGGATTTTCTAATAATAATTTACAAAAAAATTATATTTATATACAAATAAATGTATATTTGTGTAAATATATAAATACAATATATTTATATATTTATAGATTTATATATTTATATATTTGTATATTTATATATTTGTATATTTATATATTTATATATTGGATGTGAGGGCGCCCTCGAGGGTGAAAGTGTGTATTGAGTGAGTTTTCAAAATTTGATGTCAAATTTGTGAGCGAGTCTCTTTATATGAATTTACCGAATATAATTTTTATAATTTATTTATATAATGATATAAAAAAATTCTTTTTTTTCTTTTTTTCTTTTTTATTTTAATTTATTCTTTTTATCTTTTTTCTTCTATTATTTAATTAAAATTCTTATATTAAAATAATTTTTTCAATATTAAAAATACTTAAATATTTATTTTTAAAATTATTTAATTTAAAAAATTATTATAAA